AGCCCATAAGCAATGCTGCCTCTTACTACTGGTATTCCTATGGTATTCTGCCATCTCTACTGGCTTGAAATCAAGAATGTTTAAGTATGGGAGGGGAGAAAATGATGGGAAAATAAAAGGTTTCCTTTTACAAATTTGAAAATATTTTTTTCCATTTATACATGGAAAAACTGGTTCAACTCCTTCTTGTTTTAATGTTTCTGAACACCATGCTAATTATTACTAAGTATAGTGGGATGCTCCTCCTAAAAATCCATAATTTATAGTGTAAATCAGGAAAGGAGGAGGACAAACAAGTACATGTTTAAATCCACACCAGCAAAATGTTTTAGTTATGTATGAGGACGGGAAACAAAGACAGGAAGGCTTGTGAAAAAGGTTTAGCTAATCTCTAACACATTAGATAGTAAGGATACCAGAACGATGGGAAATTATCACCTGATGACTAATTGGTACCTGGTTGGAGCAATTTGATTATTCCAAGTCTTTTCTATACTGAATGTGTTCCTACATAAATCATACTACAATTCACATCCCTCAGGATGAATGAGCCAAACTGAAATTGTAATCTCATCTGGAATGAAGTTATTTCTTTGTAAGTGCACTGAAGCATAGTTTTCCTGGGAAAACGGCTGGCTCAGCACTTGCTTTTGAAAAGGGTGACTTTAAATTCCAAGGAGAAGGCAAACAGAAAAGAAAGAAAAGGGACAGGACAATCATTTATACAAATCTTGAAAAGCAGAAAACAAAGCCCACTAAACCAATAAAGCCCAAAACCAGTCAAGTTATTTCCATGGCACATCAAAACCTTTCTGAGCTTCCTAGAGCACACAAGTAGCCAGCCAGCCAGCCAGCCAGCCAGCCAGAGAACCCCATTCCAGCCCTATCTCCATACAGTCAAGGAAGGTAAGCAAGTGGAAATACAGCAGAGGGTATATGACAATTTTTCCCCACTCCTTCAACATGTCCTTTACCAAGGTGCATCATAGACATGGCTAGGCATCTGGAGGTACCAGTACCTGCATAACCACATATCTGAGGCTCTTCACCCCATGACTAATTCCTTTCCAATTGAGGTGGTAACAGCTGCAGCCAGGGCGCCCAAACTGCCTCTCAGGATACATCTTTTGGAGAAAGGGAAACAAGAGGCTTTCTCTCATCAGTACAACTACTTCTGTCTGCAACAGAAACCCCACTTTTACCTCAGATCACTACAAAAGTACCTCCCTCACACTCATGAGGAAAACTAGCTCCCCACTCCAATTCCTTCTGGAAGTAAAGATTCCCAGAGGGAGGTGGCCTTTTTCCCTGATAAAAAAGGGATTTCCCTTGTCAGCAAGGGAAGAAGGCAGCCTTTCCTAGCATGATCGTTGGGCATGGCAGGGCAGAAGGAAGGGGTGAGAAGTTGGTGGGTCAGATAAAGAACCCTCAGGGGCACATGCAGGAATCACCTGGTCACAGGATCAGGTAATCTCTGCCTACAGATTGTTCAGTTTGAATTTCTACCTTCTTCATAGGACTTCCTGCCCTTCACAGAAATAATTCTGATTATAAAAGCTTCTTGTCCTCAAGCTGCTAAGAGATAGCAATAAACTGTTCCATACTGCAGAGCTGCATGTGGGACTCTATCCAACCCACATTTGCAAGACACAGTAGTACATTTTGTATAGGATTTTGAATCCCCTGCATCTTGTACAATTAAGACTAGATTTTATTTATGATTAAACATCAACAGAAGCAAATGTTTCAGAAATGAATATTTATCTGCTTGCTTCTTAAATAAATATACTCAATTTGAGAAAATATATTTCATTTTCCTAGACTCAGATTGGGCCAACCCAGTCTTCCTAGACCACTTGGTTAAAGGAAGTGTGCTCTAAGAGTCCCTCTCTGCTTCTTCAGGAGCCACCTTGCCAAGCTTCTAGTACAAGTTCACCAACAACATGCTCCCCCAGCACAAGCAGCTCTACAGATGTCCTTTCTGTCACACAAAAGAAAAAGATGTCACCCACCTAACACATGAGTTCAACCCAGAAATGTTCTATGACAAAATCAGAACATGAACTCAAAATCTAGGAAGTGGTGTGGTTGAAATGCAGTTAGAAATGGCACTCCACAAAGAAGATCTGGAGAAAGACAACAAGGCTCTGCCACCAACACCACCCCGGCACCTCTCTCTGAAGGTAGAGCAGCAGTGAGCACAGCAGGGCAGTGTTGATCTCAACACACTCATGGTACAAGCACTAGCTAGCACTAAGAACCACAGGAACACCTGAAAAGTGAGCTTGACAGGACTCTTCTTCCTGAACTTTTCAGGTGAGAACAGAGCATGGTCATCTCCCATCCCTCAAGAACTAATGGTGGCTTGGTGCACCTCTTCACTGAGCCAAGTGACCCCTCCTTCCCTGGCTTTCCCAGAGAGGAAGCAGGATGTGAGTCTAAGAACCTGAAGGCACCTGAAGAAGTACACATCCAATGGCCATCACAGCAATGGCACAGCTTAAGAAAAGCACCCACTGGGGAGGAGCTGCCACTAAGTGATCCTCAACAGGTAGCACACCTGTGTAACAAACAAAAAGCAGGCTGGGTGCAACTGTCCTACACCCAGATGGAAGCTTCTCTGCGGAAAAGGGCTGACCCACAAGAGCTGCAAGGATTTTACTTCCTTTTAATGTTTGGTGTGTGACAAAGAATAATATTTAACTGTTTCTCTTCCCTGTGGAAGTTCTTGTCCAATTAGCTTTTGTTAACTCTTCCAGTGAGCCCTATGGAGTTTTAAACATTCAGCCCTGAATACAACTGCAAGTACAAAACCAATATTTATTTCAAGGCAGACCTTGTACAAGGCACGAACGCCTATATACAGCTGGCCAAAACAACCATCTCCTCACCTGTCAGTCACTCTTTTAGAGGTTTACTATGGCCTTCAGTCAGAACCATTGTTAATTTCAAGGTACCACCCAGCAGAGAATAGGAGGTTCTGTTGATGTTCCAGCCATTTTTTTAAAAAAAGAACCATAGGCAATCACAATGCTTAGCTAATTCCTTTTCTAACACAAGTTTTAAAAGACAACAGAGGTCAACAACAGAAATCATCACATTTTTGTATCAATGCCACTGTTATCACCCTCGAAACATATGTCTACCCATTGTTCACTTATACCATAAGAAATACCAGGAGAAGATGAAGCGTGTCTTTATATTTTGAAAACTAGGGAGGAGTGTGTCTTGCCCAGTAGGGGAGCTATCATCTCATATGTCATTCTATGCCAAGTGCAAAGTTGAATGGGAATTATAGTACAATAATAATTTGACTGTTAAAGCTAATAATGACTATCCAGACATTTCCAACTGCCAGACCAATGAAAATAAACACCCTGGCCTTGGTTATTGGAAGAACACCCATTCTGATGTTTCTTATTTATATACATACTCCCACCCAAAGTATCACTATAGATTACTGCCAAATGTTCTTAAGAGGGCTTTCATTCTCATTTCACTTTTAAATGGTCTCTGTTATAAAATAGTTAATTATCCATATATTGTGTGATCGTTTTGAGATCCTCTGAAATACAAAATCAACATTAATTGCCATCACGTTTCTTAGAGATAGTGAATCTGGTTCTACTGCAATGTCAGATTCTGCTGCAATGTTTCCAGCTAATGGAAACATGACAACGCAATGGCTAATTTCGGCCTGAAATAAAGATATTCCTATGCTAGCAACATGCCAAATTAAATGGATAGAAGCAGTGGTGAGCAATCTCTAACCCCTTTGGTGATGTTTAACATCTGGTGACATTGAAACATTAAAACACACACAGAGGGAGAGAGAGAGAAAGGATGTTGTCTGTGTTGGAGTGCTGATCACTTTGTTCATGTTTTATACGCCTTTCTTTTATACTTCACTGTAATTTGTCTTTTCTCTTTACTTTGCCTTTACTCTTTACTTTCTGTTTCACACCAATATTTTAGGGCACAATCCTACACATACTCAGACAGAAATAGGTCCTACAACCACAGCACTCCCTTTCCAGCATGGCTTGCTCAGGGATGCCAGGAACTATAGGATTTAATACCTGAACATGCTTGAGGTTGCACCTTTACAGTATTTTCTTGAGATTCAACCCACGCCCCTACAAATATACATCAGACCAGAAGGGTCCAAGGCTCAGGTTCCTGTTCCATGCATAAGTCACAACATTTGATACAGACAGCAATAGTAACTGACCAGACATGCAATCTGATGCATATTCAAGTTGAAAGCAACCCCACAACTTCCAGTATTGCCCAGCCAGCATGCATCTGGCCAGTTAGTGCCATCCAGATAATAGCAGGGCTGTCTTGACCAGTATAACATCTTCCTAATGTTTTGCATTAAAAAAAAATCATCTGCATCAGAGAGTGTGTATGGAAGCAAAGCCATGTGCTTTTACAAGCCTGGACAAGAGGAGACTCCAAGGGATCTGGTGGCAACATATACAGTAGGCATGTCGGGGGGGGGGGCGTGTCACAGTGAGGTGGGCAGAGACCTGTTTTCCCTTGCAAAGGAAGGCAGAATGTGTTCCAGTGGAGCAAAGGTCAGGGAACGAAGGTTCAACTTGGATGCCAGGAAGTACTTCCAGACAGTTAGAACCCCCAGGGGTACAGAATGGGCTTCCACAGGAGGTGATTGAAGCCCCACTGGTGAGGGTGTCCAAGGATAGGCTGGACATGTACATGGTAGGCGTGTCATGAGCAGAGCCAGCTGGAGCCAGGGGTCAGACTAGATGTCCTGAGAGGACCCTTCTGACTTGCTCTGTTTCTGTGTTTCTGTGTTTCTACAAGTGTTCCTTAACTTCCAAAGAGGGAATAATGGGTTCCTCATTCAACTCAAGTATTAGATCTCATCATATCTCCTTTCCTAGTGGCACAAAAGTGAGGGGGAGGGGGCAGAAGACATGATTCCATGCACTGAAAGGCCCTTTCATTAAATTTTCCTTGGGTCAAACCTCACTTACCCAATCTACTTTATCCAGAGTCCAATACCTTTTTAAGTCACGGAACTGCACCAACATGCCCTTCAGACCCACCACAATGATACTTGCTAGAACGCACTGGAATGAAAGAGACATTTGTTAGAATATGAATTCAGCTATTTTCTCCAAATGTGTAGAGAAATTGTTTTGGCAAAAGAGTTGGCAAGTTCTCATGAAGCCTGCAGACACTTCTCTGCTACAGATATCAATGTCTCCAAATATAAATAATGCAAAACACAACATATTTGCACATTCCTTTTGTAGACAGTGTTCAGTTTTGGGCACTCAGGTTTAAAAAGGATGCTGATAATCTGGAGAGGGTTCAGAGGAGGGCTACAAAGATGATACAGGGCCTGGAAAATAAGTCTTATGATGAGAGGCTGAAAGAGCAGGACCTATTCCGGCTTGAGAAAAGGAGACTACAAGGTGACACAATATCACTCTACAGGTACCTCAAAGGCTGCCACAAAGAAGGAAGAGACATCCTCTAACTCGTACCAGATTGTAGGACATGGGACAATGAACTTAAACTACAGTACACCAGGTGCAAGCTAGACACCAGGAAGAATTTTCTAACTGTAAGAGTAATGCGACAGTGGAACCAGCTGCCAAGAGAGGTTGTGTGCTCTTCCATACTAACAGCATCCAAGAAGAAAAGAGACAATTATCTGTGTTGGATGGTATAACTGCCTTCCTGCACCTGGAGGGGGTAGGACTCGATGGCCTTTTTGGCCCCTTTTGACTCTATGATTCTATGAAACAAACAGGCTGTAAGTGAACATCACTTTCAATAGATTCTTCTGTCTCTGATTACTCAAATCATATCCTTCACCTTGAGCCAAACTGTGCACTTCATATAAAAAGTGCACACTATTTACCTACACTGGATGTTTTTAGCTGTATCTCCAGTTTTGCATGATTCATTCTTCATTCTGCCTAGCAAATAATTTTGTATGCATTCATACACTTTCACTGGCAGAAGGCAATCTAATAGTTTGCATTATCTATTCTTTAGGACCCAGAGCCAGGAAGTATCCAATTCTGTCCCTGTAATAGCAGGACCTACTGCTAGCATGATGGGAACCTAGTGGTTACTGAAGCAAACAGAAAGCCTCAATTCCAGAAGAGGAAAGATCAGCAGTCTCTGAAGAAGGAATTCCAGAAACTAGCATTCCCATTCATTTCTGGAATTTCTCCATAAAGTGCTACTAGGAATGTCAAAGAGATCTGAAGTGGACTCTGTGAACCCAACCCATAGACTCTTCAGTGAACCAGCTTTTTCAGAGCTGTACAGATTCTGCATTCTTATGAACCTTAAAAAACTTTTTGGAATTTAATACCAATTTGTTCATAGAAAAACGGTGAAGTGTGTGTGAGTGTGTTTGTGCTTGGTGGACCAAAATGCACATTTCACCATAGGCCAAAAAATGAAATCATACATTTTAGGAGGATTTCGACAAACTTGTACAAATGCATATGAACACAAATGCAAGAAATTAAAAAAAGAATCTGATTCTGCCAATGAGCAGACAACACAATGAAAAGTGCCTGTTAATCCATGAAACACAAATGGGAGAAATGTAAGAAAATTTGTCCATCCTTAAACACGAAGCCCTGTTGCACTAGCAGTTGGTTCTTTGGGTGCAAGAGAAGGAGCACAGCCACAGCAGCAAAGTTGGATACTCTTTGCTCTCTCTTTCTGTTTTTCATAGGCACATCTGAACTCCACATTCTCCCTTTTGTTTAGATCCTTAGCAATCAGTTAGAAGCACAGGAAGGGTGCCAGGAAAAAACAAGTGTGACTGTTGTTTCCAGGGTACCCACCAGACTGTAGCTCTCTCCATTTTGCGGCTATCCTTCCATTCTGCCCAGCGAACAGTTTAATACATTTTTACAGACTGTTACTAACAGAGGTTGATCTAACCTCGGTGTTGTTATTCTGTTTATCATTTTCTACAGGAAATATCTTTTTTAAATAGTCTGGGATATCTTGAAATGCAGCTCCCAGTGTTTTGCTCTAGATTCCACTATGGTTAATTTTTCCTAAATAGCTGAGACAGAGATTATTATGGTTTTAAGTGCCTATGTTTCAGACTGCCAGGGTCAGATGCTTTATGAATCATCACCTTCAAACAGGTAGATGGTTGTACCCAAATTAGGTTCCCAGTTGTAGCCTATTGTAAGGAAAAAAACAATGCTCACTTACCACAATATAGCTATTATAACAATATTTTTTAACATTCTAACACCCTGATCCTCAACAATTTTCCCACAAGCGAGTACATCCACCGCCCAACACTCTGCAGGTTGTCTGCGACTCTCTTGCAGGAATGGGCAGTCTTTTGGGGCTGTGGACACTGCCATGCAATGATTGCCACGGGAAGCATGATGGTGCAAAGTAATCCATCCAAAAGACTGAGTATGAGGCAGAGGAAAGGGGGGAGCCACAAAATGCTAAACAGCTCCTTGAACCCTCAGTTTCCAGAACCAATAGAAACCTATTTCATGATGCTCCCACTGAAAGTGAGGAATGTGTTCATTGAAGAAAAAATAGTGGGAGAGGAAGGGAACTCTTGTGTATACTAATGAAGGTGTCAGCAGGGATACCAACCATGGCATACTAAAAAGCAGAGACATCACCCTGCCAACAAAAGTGCATATAGTCAAGGCTATGGTTTTCCCAGTTGCAATGTATGGCTGTGAAAGCTTTACCATAAGGAAGGCTGAACGCAAAAGGATTGAGGCCTTTGAATTGTGGTGCTGGAGAAGACTCTTGCGAGTCCCTTGGACCGCAAGATAGTCAAACCAGTCAGTCCTAGAGGAGATCAACCCTGACTGCTCTTTAGAAGGCCAGATCCTGAAGATGAAACTCAAATACTTTGGCCACCTAATGAGAAGGAAGGACTCCCTGGAGAAGAGCCTAATGCAGGGAACAATTGATGGCAAAAGAAGAAGGGGACGGCAGAGAATGAGGAGGCTAGATGGAGTCACTGAAGCAGTCGGCGTGAGCTTAAGTGGACTCTGGGGGATGGTGGAGGACAGGAAGGCCTGGAGGAATGTTGTCCATGGGGTCGCGATGGGTCGGACATGACTTCACGATTAACAACAACAACCTATGCGGTATTGTATCATTTTACTTCCATTTTGTATTTCTCTGTGCTTTTACATTCTCCATTGCTGATTTATTTTTGCTGAACGTTTGACCTGGAAATTACTTCTAGTTTTTACTGATTATCACTGGGCTTTAATGCTTTGTTGCCTATACATGGCTCTAGAAATACCATTATTGGGTAGAATAATTAAACTATTAATAAATGCTTGCTCAAAAGTAAGTGTCTTTGAGTCAAATTGAATATTCACCTGGGTAAATGAAGAGTCCAGCAGAAACTATCCTGCTGGAAAGAGGGCATGTGAGGAGATTCACTTCCCATGTGCCTTCATTTCCAAAAGGATTACTGAGAGGAGAGAAAAGAAAAACCCTTTCCCTCCTCCCAGCTATTGTTTGCAGGTTAACCTACCCCACCCCCCATGTCAGTGAGACTTGGATTCAGATGTCCTCCTTCTAAAAACAAGCCTACTCTGGGCCAATCACAGACTCTCAGCCCAACCTACCTCACAGGGCTGATGTGGGGATAAGATGAATCTTATATACATTAGCATGACAGGCCTTTGGGATTCACAATGGATGCCCACAGTCACACAAGGAAGCTCCATTAAGTTGTACTAATCCAGAAATGTGTGTTTTTCTAGGGTTACTTTACAAATGGTTAATGCTGCACTGCACACGCAGTGGGAATGTAGCAACTCTATTGGATACTGCCTCCTATGTGGGGAATAAGATTTGGTTTTTCTCCCTTTATAAACTGGAAGAATGGGATAACCCGTAACTCTCCCTAGCCCTAGAAGCTTCACTGCATTCCAGTACAATAGCCTACTATGAAATTATATGCTAGGAACATTGATGCTAAACTTCTGCAATAGCTTTCACTGAAAACCAGCAGCCCAGTTTCTATCCAAACAAAAGAGAAGGGTTACTTTCTTGCTCTTGGCACATAAAAGTGGTGTGTTCTCTCCCTGCTAGAAGAACTGTAATAATCACAGAATCATAACGAAAGGTGGAGCAGCTACTTTCATGCAGGGGAAATAATAATCTTTTTTTAAGAAGCAAAAAAAGAATGAACTTTACCATGGGCAGCCAGTATAAGATTGGTCCCACTGCATAGATGACCACAAGTACCAATATGCAAGATATTAGAGAAGCCACCTAAAAACAGTTGGAAAGAAAAAGCATAAATAATTACATTACTCAAATGCTGAAGCACATCTAAAATGAAATGAAACTGTTTGGTTTGTCAAAGTTGCTGAGCATAACAGAACAGTGCAGACACATAAAAATTCAAGGAGCCAAGAAAGGGGGGTTTGGCTCTCACGTAGTCTATAGATTGGAAGCATCTGAAGATAATTTAAGATTTGACCTGTGGTGGGTTATTCTTTGCCCACCAAAAAAGTAAACACATGGATCAAATACAAAAGAAGCTCACTTTTTGATGACAAATTCACAGGCAGCAACCACTGATATGCAGCTTCTGACTGGAAAATATATGCTATATGACATATAGGAACATAACAGTATCTACTTAAACATGGAAATCCTCAATTTGTTCTTGGATCTCTGCAATAGTTGCGATCCAAAGAAACGCATGTACATCCAAGTCTCCATGTAATCTATGAGAGCTTAGCAGGGAGAGGGACTGCTTCTTATCTGCATATATATGTAACAAAAGCCTGCTCATTGAGTTTCCAGAATTGGAATGGACACAGAACTGAGAAGAGGCAAGCAGGAGAAGGGTAACGTACCCTGTCCTGCTACTTCTCCCCTCCAAAGCATCTGCCTGGCCTTTATTTACCCCAGCCCTTCTCTAAAGTCTCAAGAAGGCATGCACAGCTGGTTCCTCCTCCCTTTTATACTCACAAATAACACCACAAAGCAAGCCGAGGTGCAAAAGTAAGCACCTGGCCCTCACAAGGGGATTGAGTTTGGTGTCTCCTGCTTCCGCTTCCACAGAGATGTCTATGGCATCCCGGGCACCATCTGCAACAGCTTTGCACCCAGTATACCACCTGCAACATGGTCATGCAAGGTTCCTCCAACTTCTCTCTGGCAGATTAGTGAACTGTGAGCATCACCAGTCGTCACCAGTCACAGCCACCTAGTGGTTCACCTACCAGTGGAGTGAGGACACTCTAGCCACTCCACTATGCTAAGACCTTGCCTAATGTATTTACACACGATGTTGAATTAACATCACAACCCAGTCTTGCATGCTTATTCTGACATTGCACCACTGATTCCTATGGGATACACTTCCAAGAGAGTATACTTAGATTGCTATCCTTAGGCAAGCAATTCGTATTCCATTGAAGAGACTTCTTTTTTTGTTGTTGCTGCCACTCTGCATGAAGCAGGAGCATCTTTTCATGATCCTTCATTTTGTCTTGAAGCTCCTAGAAATTTAACTATGTATTATGAAGAGCAAGTAGCTACCATCAAAACAGCACCCACCACAGGGCCCAAGCATCAATTGAATGAGATTTATAGTGTGATCCCATCCCATACATACAACCTCATGAATTTCTCATGGTTTCTATCATACTATTATTATATTGCATCCATATCCCACTTTTTTCCTCTTGTGGGGAACCCAGGGTGTTGTACATAGCTCCATTTTATCCTCACAGCAACAACCTGTGAGCAAGGTTAGGCTGAGAGTCAGTGACTGCCCCCAAGTCAGCCTCAGGGCCAAGTGAGGACTAGAGTATGAATTTCCTAATTCCTCAAGTTTGGCACTCTAACCACCGAACATGTCATCTGAATCAAAACACTTTCTTATACTTCTGGTTCTCTTATTATTCTGAAATCTTATCTTCTACTTTTCTGAAAGAATCACAAATAGTTTTTTTAAATGCCTCCAAACATCCTATTGCATTTTATGTTTGCTTGCTATTTTCATTTAACATAACATCCAGCGTGGAGTAGAAATCTACAAAGCTTGTTGACTATTTTTGTAATGCTATTATTACTATATTATTAGTATTCTACTAGATCAATTTGTCCCTACACTTGGTTTAGTTCCTTTTGGTTGACCCTCTTATGGCTTTAGTTCCTTGGTCCCCAAACATGGTTGCATAGTCTGATCCTGTGTGTCTAGACATTTGTTGTTGTTGATGTTCAGTCACAAAGTCATGCCCAACTCGGAGGGTCGGGTGCCTGCCCCTTTAAAGGAGGCGGTAGTCTGACCGGTCCTGAAGAAAGCGTCACTGGATCCAGAGATGGACACTAATTATAGACCTGTGGCCAACATCCCGTTTCTGGGCAAGGTGTTAGAGCGGGTGGTGGCAGGACAACTCCAAGCTCTCTTGGATGAAACTGATTATCTGGACCCATTTCAGTCCGGCTTCAGACCCGGGTACGGTACTGAATCTGCCTTGGTCGCCCTGTACGATGACCTGTGCAGGGAGAAGGACAAGGGGAGTGC